CTTTGCCAGCATTTTCTCTTTGTTTTGGTTTCAGTCACACTTTTTCCTACTGCATGATGGTGCAAAGGGGCTGGAGTCCCATTCTCTTCTACTGGCTATTAGTTTCACGTCTGGGTTTTCAAAATGCAGGTCACCAGTTGGTTGAGGACCAGAAAATCTTGCAGAGGTCTGTTTGCATAATCAAGAATTTCCCCTGAGGTTTTTACGAATCAAATGAACACATCATAACCTAATCGAGCCTCGCTTGCAAAGGAATTTTAATGCACTGCGTGGGAGATCTGAAATGCAGAACTAGCATCTTTGATTCTGATGCTTAAAAAAATAGAGCTGGGCATTCTCAGGAAACATTGCCAAACGGTGACATACTGCTGATTTAATCAACCCGATACTGAACTTTGTCACATAATTTGGTCTATTTATTGTGTAATACAAAAATAAAAATAAAAATTATTTAAATTAAAAATAATGCTTTGATCTTTCTGACGTCATACCCATTTTAGACCATTTAGTTCAAACATTCACGCATGGTCTTAAAATACAAAGGCACTTTACAGAGAGCTTATGAAACTTACTCCCAGCAGGCTCAGCTTCTTTCCTGCGCCTTTCAACACCACCTTTCAGAAAAAAATAAAGAAAAAGAACAATGTGATGTTTAACGTTACAGTAAATCACTTGAAGTTGAGAAGCATAATTTCTGCACTACTAGCGCTACCTAACGGAACTGCATTTTTGGAAACAGCTTTCTGAACACGCCCCCCGTCAGCCATTGGGCGAACAGATAGCCACGCCCCCCAACGCACGCCATTGGTCTAAATCCGATTGGTCGAGTCAGCGTTGTGAGGAGTAGAACAAAAAGGTAACGCCAAAGAGACACAATGTTTATAGTGTTTGAGAAAATTAACTTATAATGTCATACTTACAGTTGACTATACATTAAGCTGGGATAAAAATAAAGTATGTTAACACCGAAAAAGTAACATATTTCATCTCTACTTGGAAAAAGGTTATACTTTTCCCAGCCACTACTAACAACTACTGTAAGTAACTGAAAATTGACAAGTGTGCGTTATGTATTCAGTTGCAGTTTAGACTGCTAGGTGTTTGTTTTTACATGTTACATAGCAGTTTCTATGAATACGGTACACTTTGGCACTTTGGTGACCCATTGTTTTTGTTTTAAAAAAAAAAACAGGTCCCATATTTTTATTGTGAGACCCATTCGATATTTTAGATGAATTATTATTATTTGACATAAAATCGAATGAGCCTGATCAACATTATGAAGGTTAAGTACCTCCTTTCACCATTTTGAAAAAGACTAAATTAATTTTCAGGCCCAAGTTTTAGGTGCTTTTTGTTTGAAAATAACATTCTGTCTTGTGTCATATATAACAGTATCATATCTCACATGCTAACTATATATATATATATATATATGAGCAGAGTATATCATGAAGGTCATCTGTTAGATCGGATTTCATCAAGACTCTGGCAAAGACTGTGCTATATTTACATCTAACTGTATTGTTTTAGGCCCACCTCATTGTAGCTGTACTGCTCCCTTGTACCTTGCTGTTTCAACCTGTAAAGAGAAGAGAGAGAAAAAATGTAACACTTTTGCACTTCCTGAGTTCAACTGCAAAAACTGCTGTGGGTGGTGCAAAAGAGAGATGTTGTGATTGTGTAATTCATTTCGCTGCAGCATTTCCTCTATCAAACCCTCTCATAATCATATAAAATACTTTGACATAACATATACACTAAATTACACTAATAATTTATACTGTCAACTCAAAGTCTGATGAAATGTGGGATTCAAAATGTAATTTAAATTGCACCATTAAAAAAAGAAATGTATGTGAATAGGATGATTAATTTTAGAAATAAATATGCAATGCCAATGTCTAGACATGTCTTCCTGTGTCTTTCTACATGTCTTTACAGGAGCAAAGAACAACAGAGGACAAAATCTGATTTGTGTAACAGCAGTTGTGCAGGAGTGGTGAATGTATTTGGGTTCGTGCCTGAACAGATAGCAGCAGAAGATTACACTGAGCATGAAGATGAACATGCCTATGCCCAGTACAATGACGTAGACATTGAGCGGCAGACGGTAGATGTCTTCCTCTGACATATCACAGTCTGAATGCTGCAGCCCTAGACCACAGAGGCAGCCTGCACACAAACACACACTTTAAATCACACACAATGGCTCAAAAATATTTGAGCAGGAAGAACACACTTCTTTAGTACGCTCATTTTCAGGGGAATTCTTGGAAATTAGCTATGTGCAAAACAAATATGAACAACTGTGTAATTGCCACCAACAAACCACCATCTGGCCTTTCAGGAAGCCATGTGTGTGTTCGTGTGTGTTATAAAAGTTTACCATTACTGTTTTCTTACCATGTGAAGTTCATCTCCATTCATATTCTCCTGTCAGTCATCATAAGAGGTAAAGATTAACGCAGCGTCTGCAAGAATCCCCCTTAGTGGAACGATTCATCTAAGGTGCTTATATAGAGGAGCTTCCACAGAGATTATTGTAAGCTTGTGACATTCTGATGAGACGGTATAGTGAGATTTAATGTGTGCCATATGCACAGGATTCAGATCTTAAAACAATTTGGAGAATGTATTATTAGTATTATATTTTGGCATATATGGAATCAAAGATTTCAGTTTTCTACAACTGAATGCTTTTTAATTAGATGATTATTATTATTATTATTATGTAAGGCTACTGAATGATTCTCTTTTTTTTTTTTTTTATGTGTACATGGTACTCAGAGAATACCATAGTATTACCATGGTACATTTTTGTTAGTGGTTGACATTTGCCATGTGCAATGCACACAATTTTCGAATTATGGTCCATATTCTTGTTAACGCTTTATTCAGAAGTAGTTTGCTTGCTCAGCAGCTTCCTGTTTACATATATTCCAGTTATGTATGTATGCATATACACACACACCCACACATATGTATATATGTATATAATTCAGATGTTTGTGGTCAGTAGGATTTTATTTATTTATTTTGAGGGGAAAAAGATATTTTTTCACCAAGGACACATTGGATGGATCAAAAAGACATTTTTAATGTTACATAAGATTTCTATTTCAGATCAATGCTGTTCATTTGAACCTTCTATTCATCAAGAATGCTGAAATGTAGTAGTTTCCACTATATATACTTGAGCAGCAAATCAGTATATCAGAATGGTTTCTGAAGCATCATGTGACACTGAAGACTGGAGTAATGATGCAGGAAATTCAGCTTTACCATCACAGCAATAAATTAAATTATAAAATATATCAAAATAGAGATTATTTCTTTTAACCTGTAATAATATTTCACAGTAGTACTGTTTCTATTGTATTTTTTACCTTTACTTGGTGAGCATAAGAGACAAAAACATTAAAATATATATACCAACCTCAAACTTTGGGTGGTATATATTATGCATATATGACCCAAAAGCCTTAATAATGCATAAATATGCCAGCCGTTTTATTTGTTTTATCTGGTTAAGGCAATCCGATTGACTCCTTTACATGACATACGTGATCAGAATCTGAGCAATTTCCGCTAATAATGACAATTCGGTTCTCGTCTTATTGCCAAACGTTACTGTTATTGAACATTTGACTCGTTATAGGTCGACCTACGTTTTCATCTGAAAATAAAACTCTAGACATATCAGTTTTCAGAAGAGCAAAAGGCTGACAGCATGCGGGTTGTTAAAAACAGTCTAGGCATAGCACAAATATTTCCTTAATCTTAACAAGCTGCTCTTGACCTTTCCGAATAGTTCCCTTCGACTTCTTCAAACTGGTTTCAATATCCTGAGCAGCAATACCACTTCTGTGACTAATGCTGAAGGGGGAAAAACAAACTCAAGTTCAGCTTGGACTTTTCGCAAAGGCCACTCACCGTTACACCATTGGAATGGTTGCATGTAATCTGACTCCAAGCACTGCTGCTGCAAACTCACTGCTCGTCTGGAACAGGCAATGCGGGGGCTGGAGGAGGAGGAGGACACAAGCGAAAGCTTGATTCCAGTTTGACTTATTCCCAACAATTTTCCTGACGTTGTTCTCGTAGGTCAGACGATTCTAAAAAGCAGCTCTTCAAATGAGAGGGTGTGCTGTCTTGATTATACTTCAATCATTCCTCCATTCATCCCACTTTTATGATGTCAGCATCGAAGAACAAAATATTTCAATCACTCTTTAGCTCCGCCGATGTGACTATGCACAAGGTGCTTTGTTACACAGACAAAGGGAGCATAATGTGCCCTTGATATTCTTCTTGTCTTTGAGAACCAGTCCATATGTGGCTGAATGGCACTTCAGCTGTGATCTTCTTTGTGTTGTCATACACGAAAGTTAACAAATTCCTTAATAATAATTCCTGTGTATGGTGGTTTAGCGAGCACTAAACACCCATACGTGCAAAACATACAAGCTGATACAAGACTCCATCTACAGCCTTTGTCTTCCCTCAAACTCTTACTGCGGAAGACTTTGGCATGTCTCTCAGTCGATTTGTCTAGCTCTTCCTCCTTGACGTCGCTCTCGATCCGTCTCGTTTTCTGAGGTATGTTCCTTTATCGAACAGCAAGCAGTTTAGAAATGGAATAGAACAGTATTTTCACCACCATCAAGCCACTGGAGTGTTTATGTGTGCGCCAGTGTGGGGGAGTATTTTTTCTCTGTGTGTTTCTTCCATCAAGAAAGTGGACAAAAAAATGAATAGTCCCTTAGCTCATTCAACAAATATCCGAGCCAAAACGCAAGCAGCTGGGGTTAAAGATGTGTTCTAGTGAGGCCAGCTAGTAATATTCTCCAGAAAGGCTCCTGCGTCTTTCCTGGCCGCACCGTTTCAGTTTGTAAACAGATCTGTGCTCATGTGATCCTGGTTTGCCTCGCAACTCTGTCCTCCAATCCCTCCCTCCCTTCCTGAGCGATTCCCCTCCTCCAATCCTCTGCGCGACTGCGGTCACTGGGTGGCCTCCGCTGCTTCTGTGTCTTGCTCAGAGGGCTGCAACATTTTGAAGGAAGTAAGGTATGGGACTACATCTCTGCCACAATTCTGTGCGTTTAGCACGCGCGCGAACTGAGTTTTGTGGAGAAAATGTTTGACTCGCAAAGAAGAAAGTATTTAGAGCGCACGAAAATCAATTTTGCATTTAAAATCAGTTTTTGGATGTGTGCAGACCTTCTCTTTTGTGAGTGCAACGTTTCACTAGCTTGCTAACCGATGCCCGCCCTCAGTCCTCTCTAAATGCCAACAGCTCACTTGCTCAACACAACCCAGCATTACAATATGCCATAATTCCAGCCAATCAGAGATGTAGGCTGCTAAATTCTGATTGGCTGCCTTGACAACCGCGCACAACATTTCTTGCATTACCTCGACAGCAGAAGAGGAAAAATACAGTGCATGCATAATTATTATGCAAGTTGATATTCTGATAATATTGTTTTCCAAGCACATTTGACCAGTTCCAAAGGACATCTTAATAACAACTATTAATCTTGTATTTAAAGGGGTCATATGATGCTTTTTTAAAGATCATTATTTTGTGTATTTGGTGTAACAGAATATGTTGACATGCTTTAATGTTCAAAAGACACATTATTTTTCAAATACTGTACATTATTGTAGGTCCTCTATGCCCCGCCTCTCTCAAACGCTTCGTTTTCTACAGTCCCTCCTTCCGACAAGCGCAGTCTGCTCTGATTGGCCAGCTGAATAAGACATTTTTCACTTCAGCCTTCAGCCTTCATGAATAATTATATATCAATTATAAATTATTAAATACAAGATTAATAGTAGTTATTAAGATTGATGTCGTTTGGAATTGGTAACATGTGCTTGGAAAAAAATATGATCAGAATATCAACTTGCATAATAATTATGCATGCACTGTATTTTTCCTCTTTTGCTGTCGTGGTAATGCAATAAATTTTGTGAATGGTTGTCAAGGCAGCCAATCAGAATTTAGCAGCCTCGTCTCTGATTGGCTGGAATTATGGCATACTGTAACCCTGTGTTGTGTTGAGCAAGCGAGCCTTTGGCATTTATTTTCGTGCGCTCTAAATACTTTTGTCTTTGCGAAACGAACATTATCTCAACAAAACTCAGATCGCGCGCGTGCAAAATGCACTTTTGTGTGCTCAAAATATGATATTTCACGCGCAGAATTGTGGCAGAGATCTAAGCCTATAGTAAGGCCGCATGCATGCGCGCTGCTGCAGAAAACAGAAGTCGAAGGTGACAGACAAAGCGAGAGTAAAAAAAAATAGTGCAGATTGAATGAGTGAGCGCATTGACACGTATATGCAGGAGATCTGATGCAGATCATGTTGCTGTCTGACCTACTAAAGCACTGACATGATCAGAGCCTGTTTATGTTCATCCACAGAATATAATTGTAGCTTTTAAATGGAGAAAGGGGGGAAAATACAACAGACTCAGGTGACCAAAAGGTGACCAACCCCCAACACTAATGCGGGATTCAGCTATAGAGACAACAGCTGCTGCTTGCCTAACAGCCATGTGCTCTCCGTGTCTCTGTTTGTCACACTCAGCTATCTTGACTTATCGGTGTGGTGTACGAGTTCAGTTTTGTGTCAACCAGATTATTTGCTGGTTATCTAACAAATCACAGGTTACACTTCATTCTGAGAATGCCATTCGCTGTCATGTTTCTTCCAGCTTTGTTATTGTTAACTAAAACTAAAACCATTAAAAATTGTTTTCGGTAATTGAAATGAAGCTGAAATAAAATAAAATATAAATATTAGATGAAAAACATAAGATTAAATGAAAATTAGAAATGTTGCCTTGGCAAATAACTGAAATAACCTAGTTTAAGTTGAAACTAAAACTGAAATACGTATAAAATAATATAATAAAAAATGAATAAAAATGTCAAAAACTGATAAAATGACTAAAACTTTAAATTTAAAATAAAAACTGAAAATAAAAAAATTCTAAAGATTAATAAATATTATAATAGTATATAAAATAACACGGGTTTCTTCAGTGTCCTTGATGTGATTATTAAAATTAATTAAAAAAAATAAATAAATTTGTAACATGTAATAAAATATCTATAATTCATCCATATTTTTTATGGATTTTTAGATGTTTAATCATAATCTAAACTGAGTAAAACAATCATACACAATTTCAATATAGAAATTATTTAGGCCTATATAATTTTTAACTATATATATATATATATATATATATATACACACACATTAATTTGAATTAATTTTATTTTTTTATTTCGGAAAGTCTTTGTACCATCTTTCTTTAAAATAAACTACTTTGTTTGGTAATTAGCTATAAAAGAATGGTCTGACTTTAGGTGTTATTTATTTATTTGCTACATAAAACATCTGCACGAAACAAAAACAGCAGGGCTGCGTTCAGCCCATAGACAAAAACGGTGCAAAACGTTTTTTAAACGGAAACGGTGATGCATTGAACACCCTGTTCTGATGATGCAAGAGTTGCAACTATGGCAGCTGAGAAAAACGCATCTCAAACCCCATTGCACACCGTTTCCAGGAAACATGTCGTTCAAACCGGAAACCGTAGCAAAACGGAGCACACCGGTTTGAGCTTGAACGTGCCCCAGGTCTGAATGAGACGCACTCTCTGACCGCAGGTGGCACTAATGAACAGGGTTGCCAGGTTTTCGCAATAAAACTAGTCCACTCGCATTTCGAGGGGGATTCCCCTGTAAAAATCGCATTCCGGGGGTAAAGTATGGAGAGTCCCCACAAGGATAGCTGACCAGACGTGTGTGTGTGTGTGTGTCTTAGTGGGGCATAATTTTGTCCCTAACAAAGTTTGTGCACTTTGTTACAATGGTTACACTTTGTAACTGCTGTCAGTAAAGAGCATATTTGAAATATGAGATGATGTAAAGTGTGAAGTAAACAAACGAAAGGTCACCGTAAATATTACAACAGAATATTTTTTAATGTGTCATTTCCAATGTATGCAAAAAGTGTGAAAATGCTATTTAATTCTGTCTATTAAGTGTTCATACAATGCTAGATATGAAATTAGCTACAAAAAAAAAGTAGCTAAATTTTAGTAGAACAATTACATCAACTAGAACAGTGGTTCTCAATTCCCATCCTCGTGTACCACTGCTCTGCACATTTTGTATGTTTCTCATCACTTCAGACGTTTGTTCTATTCGACCCTGCGACTGGGCATCACAGGATATTCCACCATGATTCCAATTCGAAGGGAACATACTGTATATGTTCCATTCAAAGGGCATTAAAGTGTGTGAGACATGAATTGAAATTGTATTTATTTACAGAGTAAGGAGCAAAGAACACTGTGTAGGGACCATGTCAATCGGAACACAGTTCACGCATGGAGCTCTCTTCTAACGAGCTGGTTATCTGAATCAGGTGTGTTAAATAAGAGAGACATGCAAAATATGTAGAGCTGTGGTAGCTGGGACTGGAATTGAGAACCACTGAACTAGAGAAAATGAAGAGTGTGTCAAATGTGGTGAGATGTGCTGTATAGTGGCCCCTGGTGGCAAAAAAGTGAGACAGCATTTTATTTCAAATCTGCATAAATTCTTGTGCTTTATTCATCATCTGCTCACATTAATTTACGACTTTTACTGACAGATATATTTTGCACTCTAAAAAGTGCCACATCTTTAATAGAGCAAATAATGTAAAGATCAAACTATAATTATAATTCATTGCTTTGGTTATTTAATGCGATACGTAATATAACTGGAAAGACCTTATGTATTTACCTTAATGTATTTTGATGGTTAAAACAACATACATTAGAAAAGTAATATAGTTGAATTTCTTGTCAGCCGTGGCATCTATATAACTCAGACCTTGCTATAATACACTGCCCATGCCTTCTTTTGAGTATTACTGGGAGAAGAGACACAACCGTTCATTAATCCATTTTGGCTTGTGCTAGCATTGCTATGTTTATTCGTAAAACCATTTTGTTCAATGCTAAAGCTAGCATTGTCATATTCCTTCCCCAATTCGCTTTGGCCAATATCCAGGCCAGGATTCAAATAACCGTGTTTGAAGCCATTTTGGCCCTCATTAAGGTCAGTTTTATCACTGACATTTCCATCTTGACTTTTGTTAGCATTCATGCTACAATCGCCATTTTGTCCAGTGCTAGCATCGCCAGGCTTTCTCAGAGTCAGTGGAGGTTTACACGTGTGCCAGTCCCACAGCACCTTGTTCATGGTGTCCAGGCGACGAACGCCCATCAGTTTGTCTTCTTCTGTAGCAGGTTTATCATCCTCATCATCGCTATCATCTCCATGTAAATTATCATGGAAGCTTTGAATCTCACCGCTAATACCTTCAAAGTATTGCTTGATGCAGATCTTGGCGAAACCTTTGGCATGTTCTGTGCAAGTCTCATCAAACACCTTGCGCTCCGTGTCTACGTAGTGGGACCAGTATTTGGTTTTGAGAAAGGCGGCCTGAGTGAAGCAGGGACGAATGGCTCTGATCAGAAATGCAGCGATTGTGATTATCAACAAGAACAACCATCCAAAAGCCTGGAACATTTAGAATACAGACAAACAAATATGTATTAGTGACATTAATATGAGCTTATAGCTTAACTTGTGATATTTGATAGTACAGTACATAGTACAGTAAGAAGTCCAAATCTTCAAGTTTGTTAGTCTGTCTACAGTTTCTTGGCTTTTATCGCCAACGTTTTCAGCAGCCTTGGTTTTAGAAGTATTTTCTTATTAATTGTGTCCACAATGATACAGATATATATTTTCCCCCATCACTTCTGTGTTAACGTCATCTTCTCTGACTGGTGAATCTATGCATTTACATTTTAGTATCAATGTGAGACTACTATAGTTTTCTTTTATTAATATTTTGAATTAGCTTCTATTTTTAGTTTTCTATTTAAATGTAAAGTTTTAGTTATTTTGTTGTATGTTTTTGTCATTTATATTTGTTTTATTTTATGTCTATAATTTATTCATTTTTATTTCAGTTTTAGTTATTTTTTAGTTAGTTTAGTTATTTTTTATAATCTAAATGAAAATGAGAAATGTTGCCTTGGCAACTAGATAAAATTGAAGTATATTTTTAATATTTTAT